ATTGTCTCGTGAAACAACGTGGAGCGTTGTGGACTTCTCTGCTGTAGCGATGAATCTCCTGAGTCCAAGCCATGAAAATGGTAAATGGCACACTGGCTTGTGCAGCATGTTTGGACATGAAATGCTGGTTGGGCAGCAAAACCAACATTTACCACAACAGAAAGCAGTTGTTAATCAAGAGCAACAAATTCAACCAGTTCACCTGGTTGCTCTGTGGAGCGGGTTTCCTCGTGCGTCCCAGTGTTTTCCAGCACTGTTGGTTGATGCAGGTCATTTTCTTAGTATCTGAGGCCTGGATATATTCAGTGTATTTCCATGTTTCCGCAAAAGTTCAGCCGTGTTTGTGGTGTTACTTTCCAACACGCTAACACCCTGTCTAAAAAACCAAACTTGTCTTGCATAAATTACTCTGTACAGTTGGGTTTGGGGTTTTGTCTTCGTTTAAGTCTGAGAAGCAGCTGCATGCTGCTGCCACACCAGCAGGTCGACACCAGAGCTCAGTCAGCTGATGCATCAGTGTTTTATACGTTTTGTTAAGACTTTAAGCCAGATTTGTCGCTCACTTCAGTCATTTAGATGTGACTGATGCTGGATATTGGCTTGGTGCATAGCTAATACCTTCTATGAAATGTAATTTAAGAAACTAACTATTAACAGAGTTAATAGTTAGTTTCTTAAAAAAAATAGAGCCACTGAAGCCTCTTTCAGTTGTTATATGCCGAGCAATTTCACATATTTGTAATTATTAATAATGCATCGGATGCTTTAAAGCTAATATGTGGTCCCTGTCGAGTGTTTGGTTGTGTCACAGTGTTGTTGTCCTCTGCAGCTCTGTCTAAGGGGAAGCAGCCCATCCACACCATCCTGCTCAACCCTCACGTCCACCTCATTGGCGATGACGCCGCCTGCATTGCCTACATTCGCCTCACCCAGTACATCGATAGCAGCGGCATGCCTCGCACCATGCAGTCAGAGGAGACTCGCATCTGGCACCGCCGTGACAGCAAGTGGCAGAATATCCACTTCCACCGCTCCGGCTCTCCCACCATTCCCACCAAGTAAGATCGCCACCAGATTGCTTATAATGTTTAGACACGTAGGAACAGTTTTAATGAGTGTGTAGCATCAAGTCAGTTAAACCCCTGGGATATTGATCTGATCAGTGTAGTGGGAGAGAGTGGGCTGATGGATCAGGTACAGCTCCTTAACCATAGGTAGGCCAGAGAGCCAGCAGTGAGACAACCCCCCAACAGGAAAGGTTTTAATGGTGACGGCCATTGACGTGTTTCCCTCGTCATCTTTTCTCACTGTTTATTCCCCAGTTTTGCATTTGGCTCGGGTCAGTGTCGCTGCTGTTAGCATGAAACAATATCTAGACCAGGGTCGGCACCTCCGGGCCTCGAGGGCCGGCGTCCTGCAGGTTTGAGATGTGTCCTTGATCCAACACAGCTGATTTAAGTTCTCCAGAGGCCTGGTGATGAACTAATCATCTGATCCAGGTGTGTTGACCCAGGGAATTACAGAGGTTGCACAAATAGTCCAGAACATCAACATATGCTGGGAGACACAGAAACCCTCTCAGGTGTTTTAAGCAACCGGCCGACGAGTGAACATGCTCTTCTAACACTCTCGAGACACAAAGCGTTCCAAGTTTTGGTGTCGTAACCAGTAATGTTGGTGCTTTTGTGTAGAGATCATTCTGCATGTGCTGGTGTTGGTTGATCGGACGAACATGTTTGTTTAAATCACCACCCTGCTCGATTTCCAGAATAAAACAGCAGGCTGCTCCTCCGTCACATGGACATCTGACCACAGTCAGGACAAAGTATTCGAGAACAGCGTTAAACATTCAAACGAGACAAAGTTTCCCTTTAACAGCTTGACACGTATTCCGGGTCTAACGAGCCGTAATGCCCAGTAACTAGATCAGAGCAGTGGGTGAAGCTGACTGTGTGGGTTTGTGTCTGACTGTGCTCCACTTTCAGCTGAGATGACCTCCACCACCTTCCAGCCTACAGCAGTCAGCTGACTGACTTCTGCCGTCTTTCCATCGGATGCCCAAGCCACGCCTCCCCCTCGTTTGCTAGCGCTCTGCCCTCTCAGTGTGTTGTTTACATTGTCGCTGCTGAACTGAAGTTTATTCTAAATGTAAAGGAGTTCACACTTTGACAACATCACTTTGTAGAGAGAGTGCAGGGTGTTCAACATATCTCTGTTTGCAGCATTTTTATTACTGGTTTCTTGATATATTCTTTTTTAAATAGAAGTGGACTCTAATGGTGCCACTGGTTCCACTTGATTTTAATGGGCTAGTCTGTGAAGCTCCCAGTCAGGATTACACATGTTGTGCTATTGTGATATTTTTACCTTTTGGCACAATGACCGATATCAAACTTTTTAATCACGTTTCTGTTTCCAGACACAAGCCTGCTTTGTTTGGCTGATCCATAGGTTTTGGTAATCATGTAATTTGCTCTTTGCTTGATCCATATGAGTTGACTTATCTTACTGATGTATGTTTACTAGGAACTGTAACTACATGTTTAAAAGGGAAACCGTTTGTTTTAGTGAGTTCGGTCATCACGGAGCATCGTGGGAGGAAGTGTAGACGTAGATTCTTAAAGCCATTCTGACTCCTGCCAGTCACATTTTCATACAATAAGAAGTTAATTATGTGAATCTGTTTGTTTACATTTTACAGTGTGATATTGATGCCTGTCCTTCTCCTCACTTACCTTTAAGAACATCCTCCGTATTTCATCCTCTGCTTAAAGTCGAACCCTGTTTAACCGTGTAAATCAGTTTGCTAAGTTTCATCACTG